ACAGTTTTTTTACACACAGGATTCCCCGGAGTTGGGTTTTCGCCTGCATTTTTTTCAAAATGCTGCTCTCGCTGAGGCGCCGGCCTCATTTTCGGGCCCCGCTCGTTCCGAATCGTGCTCCCGCTGCAGCGCTGGCCTCATTTCCGTGCTTCCGCTCGTTCCGAATCGTACTCCCGCTGCAGCGCTGGCCTCATTTCCGCGCTTCCGCTCGTTCCGAATCGTGCTCCCGCTGCAGCGCTGGCGTCATTTCCCGTGCCATGCCACGGCATGCAATGCAATTCTAGGTTGCGTTCCGCTGCGCGATGCCATGCCTTCAGCTGAAGCTGTGATATGCAGTGCTTAAGTGCCACGTCGTGCTATGCCATGCTACGCTTTGATCTTCAACGCCATGCTATGCAATGTTATGTTCGGGGCCGCTGTGCGATGCCATGCTTTGCGTTGCAAAGCTTTGTGATGCAATTCTTCACTACGCCACGCCACGCCATGCTGTCACATACTACGCTTTGCGGTGCTCTTCTACGCCATGCCATGCCGTGCTCTACAATGCATCGCGTACCCTTTCGGGATCATTGCCCTGCTCGACATCCGACTGTGCGAGTAGAGAGGGGATCTACGCCATGGTAAGGGATGGGAGGGAGGGGTAGGATGTCAGATATGACGCGAGCGCACCTAGCTTTGCCCCCCTCCCCTCCCCAATCCCCCCCGCCTGCCCCCTCCCTTCCCCCCTCAACCCCCGCCCCTCCCCCCGCCCCCCCTTTCCCCCCCTCCCCCCCGCTCTCCCCACTGGGGGGGGGGGCGATTGTGCGAGGATGTCTCGAGCGAGAGAGCCAAAACGGGACACGCCCGGCGCATCCGGCGCAGCAACGGAAATGTCCCGGGGGGGCGGTTAGCGGGCCCATTTGCTCGCGCGCCGGGGGTCAGGATGACGTGAGTTCACAAGACAAGCTCCCTCAAATGATGCTGTCGTGAAACGCTTTTGGCGATGGATCCTGGGGAAAGTGCGTGCTGTGCCTCGTTTGGTACGCAGTCTCCTGTGCCACGCGGGCTCGCTGGGGCGAGAAGGCGTGGTGACGGATGCCTGGTGCTGGCACGGCCGTCCCAACGCGTACGACGTGCGGGTCGGCGCGATCGGTCGCGTTCCCGAAAGGCTTCGCAACCACCCGGTGGTTGCACCCTAAAGCCCGAACCAGGACGGCGACTGCAGGACGAGAAGGGACGAGGGAGGGAAAGGAGGGAAGAATAAGAGGTAGAGAGGAGAGGGGAGGGGCCAAGAGAGGAAGGGAGGAGGTAGGAGGAGAAAGGAGGAGAATCCCAGGAAGTCTTGCAGCACGCCCTGGATCGCCCTGAACTCGCCTGAGCATCCCTCCTGACTGATCCCTCCTCCCCCTCCTCCCCCTTGAAGCGGAAGAAGAGGTCCACTGGAGGTGCCTTGGCTCTCCAGGTATGCATTCACCGCGTCCGCCCAATCATTCTCGTCCTCCTTGTCCAACTTCCACTCCTGTAGCCTGTCGAGGACCTGTTCGGGCCGGGAGGACCACAACGGAGGAATGGGTAAGGGGCATGGCCAGGATCGAACTGGGACGAAGAGGGGAGTTTGGGGGGAACAAGAGGGGGGAGGAGGAGGAACGAGGAAGAGCCAAGAGGAGCCAGGACGAGGAGCAAGCCAAATGAAGCAGAAACCAAAGGAGGAGCCAAAGGAGGAGCCCGGAAGAGGAGCGAGAAGAAAGAGGAGCGAGATAGGACGGGAGGGACAAAGGGGGGAGGGGAGAGGGGGGGGGGGGGGGCAGGGGGCAGAGGCCTCCTAAAGGGGCTTGGGGCAGATGGGGTCGGAGGATCGCGCCGCATCAGCGATACATCGGCGATGCATCGGCGATGCACCAGCGATGCATCGTCGACGCGGGCGACGCATCGGCGACGTCGACGTGAAGCAAATCAGGCTCCACATCGAGCCGTGCATCGGCGATGCAGCGCGATCCTCCGACCCTATCTACTCGGACCCCATCTACGAGGCCTAGAGGGGGAGCGAGGAGAGAGGGAGGAAGAAAGGAGGAGGACCGGGGGAAAGAGGACGGCACAAAGAGGAAGGAAGGAGGAGGAGGAGGGAGGAGGAGGAGGAGGAGGAGGAGGAGGAGGAGGAAGACGACGAAGCACAGAGGACAAAGGAGACGCAACAGGGATGAAGAGGCTGGGGCGGAGATGAGAAGATGTGAAGCTGGACACTCCCTGCCCTGTCTCTCTCACCTCCCCTGCCCATCACCCTCCCTCTTCCCTCCCGTCTCCCCTCCCTTCCCCCGTGGCATCACCAACTAAAAGCAGCGCAACTATGCGAAGAAGGACACACTGCTATCATTTGTAGAAGTGCGCTGCGTGAAGCATGTGATGCGGGTTAGGATGAACTCTGGAGCCCCTTAAGGGATGAACTCCTCAAAATCTGACGAATCTGCATGGTTTCATCGTATAAAATCACAGTCGGGATGCTCAACGGAATGGAGGTCCAGATGCCTCAGAGAATCGTGAGGGACAACCCGATACCTTCTCATGACACCCTGCCCTGATGATCACCTGGGGGCGCAAACTTCTCAGAAGCTTCAACCGTTCACCCAGCGGGCCAACGGTGCGTTGAATCAGCCACACCAGGTAATCTTCCGCCACAGGCTTGCCCAGGTGCGCTCTGCTCCTTTGAGCTCTACGCATGCCCTCTGGCCATAAACAATCGAAGCCTTGCCATGCGGAAACTGAACAGGGAGCACAGCACCCTGGGGACCCCAGTTGCGACCAGACTTGCAAGAGGCAGCCGAATAAAAAGCACGGGAAATGCCCAAGGAACTCTGAGCCTTGCGACGACAGCCTCAGCCTTGCGGCCATTTGGATGTGCCCTGTACGTGTGACCAGACCTCTCGCGTGGGATGCAACACGCGCGGCGGCAGGCTGCGGTAGATTGCCTGTAGAAGTGGCTTTATCGAGCTCGTGAGTTCGAGCGAACTCTGAGCCCCTTACGAAACCGAAGCGGCCCCCCTGGTTCCAACGTTTTGACCGTATCGCCGAGACCCATCGTGCACTCCCGAGATGATGGGGAGGGGGAAGGGGTAGAGTCGAGATCGAGTCCCGGGGCCTGATCTTGATGAGCCTTAGTATCGAATCCGAAAGCGCACAGGTTCTTTCTCGATGTCGGATGAATGGGCCGATGTATGCCCCCAGGCTACGGATTACCCGCGGGATGCGGTCGAAAACTCCAGGGCCCACGTCGAGGAAAAGAACACGTCGTCGGATGGCTGGGGAAGTACTGAACTGGCAGGGAGTAAGGGGGCAGGAGGGTCTTAAAAGGATCGGATGCTTCTAAGAAGGCATGGTACCAAGACTGCAGGTCTTCTCACGAGCCCTCTGCCTCCTTAGAAGGCCGCCTCCCCCCCTGCCCCCGGCCAAATCCCACTCAAGACAGACCGTTCCCTGGATCTGCATGGGATAAGTCATGGCCAGTTGTTCGAGCTGCCTGGAGCCGTAGCCACGAGGAAGCCCCCCGAGGCACAACGAGGAGGGGCAACAATAAAGCCTTCCTCAATCCTCGGTCTTCGGTTCGCGCCGCCGAGGGCAATTGCAGACTCGGAGCGCCTTGATGAGACCATCAATCCAATCCTCCGCCCCAGAGTCCTCGAGGCTCGAGGAACTAGGTTTGGGGATCAAGGTTTTGGAGCGCTGTTGGGCCTGTGCAGTCAAGCTGCTGCAACAAGGAACGCTAAACCAGTAACGACAACCCCCTTTGGCACCAAAAGCGCCTGGGTACACGAAGAGGGCTTGGAAGAACAATCACGGAATGACCTGAGCAACCGCGATCACCTTTTGAACGCAGAGCGGTGCTCGTTTCAGCGCCCTGGCTGTATGAATCTCTCGGAGGGGCTTCGTCGCCACGGCTGGATTCACCTGGAAAGCATCGTCAAAACTAACCCCAGGAGAGGCCTGGACCGCCCAGGGAAGCGAGCTTCGGGAGGAGGGGGAGGACACAGATCTGGAGACTCGAGGACATCGCGCCAACCAAATCTTGCCATCTGAGAAATCGAACCGTGTAATGACTGGCGAATGCGGAGGCCCAGACTGGGCCGTCAGACATCCAGCGCCCTAAAACATCCGAATAGCTAAATGTTCTGGGGGTGAGCCTCTCCCACGGCCCACAAAAGCAGCCCACGACGCAAAATCCGTACAAACGTTGGGGGCGGGAGCTCCAGAGCTCTGCGCATGAAATAAATCAGGATGTCGGCGGTATGGCGTCTGGTCCGCCTAGGCCAACTATAACAGGTATGCTAAAGCGCAACGTGCAGAAGAAGTGTCAGGAGCTTTGTTTCCCACCACTCCTCCCCCGCGAGAGACGAGGGGCCATGGCGGAGGGGCTCTCAACTCGCATACTGCTCTCAAGCTCCTGCCCTGTCGGTATGCAGTGCCAATGTCTCAGCCACATCCTCGTCAACACAGTCTCACTGAAATGGCGGCAACGTCCGTGAAGTGGTAAGAAGCACGTGCACAGTGCAAAAACACACTGGGAGAAGAGGACGCAGACCTCCGACGTCGTGCTTGTCTCACGGCGTGGACCCCATCCCCGGGTCTGATTGTTTCCGTCGCGGGCAGTTATTTGATGATGTATGATCCAGGGGGGGAGTACGGATTGCAATCAATTTCGCGACGCCCAGACGTCTCGGGGATGATCGGGGGGTGTAGCGATGGTCTCTCGTAGCCCGAGCCGCTACATGCCCAGTCTGCCACCACGATTCGGCGCTGGATGCATACTCGACCAGACATCGGTAAAATTGGGAACCAGCGCTTACTTGACAAAAGCATGGAATGATTGATCTCGGTTTATGCTGCGGCTGCTTCGAAACGCTCATGATACATTGGTTTTACTTTCGCATCGGAGACACCATGCCTGGCTTGCCGATCGACGAGAACTCAGAAAAAGTACACAAGGCCGGGGGCCGAATCGATAGGCAGGACAAGGGCAACTTACGCTTCATTCAAAAGCCGATGACCTCGGTGAACGCCTTCATCTTCTTTTCGCGCTCCTCGCGGAATGCATTTCGTGCAGTCTCCTTTGCTTGTTCGTCGAGGGCGTCGTACTTCTTGGAGTACTGCTTTATGTTCTTCCGGACCTTGTCGGAGAAGGCAAATGCACATGTGAATGATGCGTCGCGTGCGCGCAGTCATACGTGCACAACCGCACTGATTTGCTGCACGTCTGCCGCGCGAGCATGCACACACAGGCGAAAACATGTATGCAAGTAAGCATGCGGCGCACATGCGCGATCTTACATAATGAGACGAAATCACGCTGGACGCATGGATAATGGGCAATTGCGCAGAAACGGAAAACAAAAAAAACACAGAAGGGAGGAGGCAGGAGGGGGGAGGAGGAAAGAGAGGAGAGAGGAAGGGTGAAGGGAGGTAGGGAGGGGCAGGGGTTTGACGCGCATCCATTCTCATGTTGTCGAACAAGCTCCCAAAGGCATATACTGAGCGCCACTGTGAAGCTCTCGTCGGATGTCTCGTCGAGATCTGATCATCCCTCCCTTCAAACCAAGATAGTAACGAAACCACAATGGAAGCATCTGCCGCACTGGAGGGGCAGATACCACATCGAATGCGAAATAATTCAATCGGCGTTCATCCTCCCTCCACCCCTCCTCCCATCTCCCCAGAAGGCTCCAGAGATCGGGCCTCCCGTCAAGCGACATCTGGACACCTCCTTGGCAACCCTCCAAAAACGACCGAAAACTCTGAATAACAGAATAACCTGCAAACGAAGGTCCGGAAAACGTTCGACGAACGATCGACGAACGTCTCATGGGCGACAGCGATCGACCGTAAATACTGCTGACACCACACAACAGGAAAGTGCCGAAACACCGCCGAACGCTTTGACATAAGGGAAAGGAGTCCTGTTGGAAACGCGTCCTGGACCCCTGGACCCGTGGTCTTTCCCCAGCATCAGCCTGAGTTGGCTCTTGGCAGCCAGTGGGGTCCAGGGAGGGCCCTGAGAGCACGAAAAAGGGAAAGACTTTCAGGATAAGTTTCCTTCAGGATACCTTTTCGTCATGGAATACCTCCTTCTCCAAGCCCTCTGGCTGTTACCGAGTACTCGGCGAGCGCTCAGCGAGCTTTCGACAAGAGGTCGACGAGGGAAAACAACCCACTCCTTAACAAAGCCCTCGAAAAAGAAGAAGGTGGGATTGTGAAGTTTGCGGTCTGGGAGATAGAGAGAGAGTGAGAGCGAGAGGGTATGGGGAGGGAGAGAGAGAGAGAGAGAGCGAGAGAGAGCGAGAGAGAGCGAGAGAGAGAGCGAGAGAGAGCGAGAGAGAGCGAGAGAGGACGGGAGGTGAGCGAGAGAGAAGGGAGAGGGAGAGACCCTGGAAGGTTGCCCACCATGCCGCCCGTGGTGGCGCCTAGGGGAGGGGTTCGAGGGGCCAGAATGCTGTAGAATGCCCCCGCAGCCCCAGTCCAGTGGCGGTGGTGGCGCGGTGTTGGCGCGGTGTTGGGGGGAGGCGGGGGGAACAAACAAAATACTGAATGGGGGCGACAAGTTTGTTGTTCTTTCGTTTTGCCCACCCACCCACCCCACCAACACCCAACACCCAACGCACACACACACACACACACACACACACACACACACGCACACACGCACACATACCACCAGAGGGAGAGGGAGGGAGTGGGAGAGGGGGGCAGGGCCAGGGCGGCTGCGGCCAGCCGTCCCGGCTATGGGGCCCCGCAGGGTGCGGCTGCGCCTTGGCGCCCTTGCTCGCAGACGCCTGGAAGGAAGGGCAAAGGCGGCGGCCCCGGCTGGGCGCACAAGCTCGCGGGCACCCAGGCCAGGCCAGGATACGTCGGACGGTGCTCACCCCTGGCTGCAACATAGGCTGTGGCTGGCGCAAAGACGACGGCGGCAAAAGCCCAGGAGAAGAGAGGACGCCGCCGCGGCGCCGAACTATGCGGCGCACAGTGGCGACGGTGGCGCAGCAGCGGCGGCATCGCAGCCCGCCGAGGGGCGCGCGGCCAGGCTGGGGCAGCGCGCCGCCGCTGAACGCGACCCACAGGCCGTGTCAGTCGGGTGGCATCGGATACTGCGCCGCGTGCGGGAACTGCGCTGCGGCGACAGAGTGGCGGAGCAGCGCGAAGAAGTGCCACTGCGCAGCAGAGGCCGCCGAGCAGGCGCCCTGGGGCAGCTCAAGGGCGGCTAGCGCCCCACCAAGAAGGGGCCGACGCTTTGCCAGCCGCGGACCGCTAGTGTGGGGCGGCGATGCTGAGGCCAGGTCGCGGTCGCCAATCGGCCACGGCGGCGCGGCAGCGGCGCGACCGACACCCGCGCGGCGAAAAAGTCCACGATCGGCAGGCGCGGTGTAGTTCATGTGCGACCAGGCTCTGTAAACCAGCCAGCGGCGGAGATTCCCTGGTTCTGACCTTTGCGCGGTGGCCTGGCCCCGCGCGGAACCGATCTCTGTGCGAACGATTCGAGGT